AAAAAAAAAAAAAAAAAAATATGAACAGCCAGCCGAGAATCACCAGAATGACAGATACCAAAACAAACAGGAAAAGAAAAAGTCCAAGGAAACAGGAGCAATGTAGGCAGCCAAAGAAACCATTAAAAACTATGTGGTAGCAAATGCCACAAAAGCAAAAATAGACAAACGGAACTTAATTAAACTAAAAAGCTTCTACACAGCAAATGAAACAATGAACAGAGTAAACAGACAACCTACAAAATGAAAAAAAAAATGTGCACACTGTGCATGTGACAAAGAGGAACTCAAACAACTCAAAAAGAAAAAACAAATAACCCCATTAAAAAGTGGGCAGGACATGAACAGATATCTGGCAGAAGAAGACATATAAATGGCCAACAAACATAAAAAATGCTCAATATCACTAATCATCAGACAATGCAAATTAAAATCACAATGAGATGCCATCTTATACCAGTCAGAATGGCTATTAGTAAAAAGTCTAGGCCTGGCATGTGGCTCATGCCTGTAATCCCAACACTTTGGGAGGCCGAGGTGGGCAGATAACCTGAGGTCAGGAGTTCAAGATTAGCCTGGCTAACATTGTGAAACCCCATCTCTACTAAAAATATAAAAATTAGCCAGGCATGGTGGTGGGCACCTGTAATGCCAGCTACTCAGGAGACTGAGGCACCAGAATCGCTTGAACCTGGGAGATGGAGGATGCAGACTGAGATCATGCCACTGCACTCCAGTCTGGGCAACAGAGTGAGACTCTGTCTCACAAAAAAAAAAAAAAAAAGTCTAAAAATAACAGGCCAGGTTGCAGAGAAAACATGCACTGTTGGTTGGAATGTAAATTAGTACAACCTTTATGGAAAAGAGTATGGAGGATTCTCAAACAACTAAAAATAAAACTACCATTTGATCCAGCAATCCCACTACTGGTATATGCCCAAAGGAAAAGAAACCATTATATTAAAAAGATACCAGCACTTGTATGTTTATTGCAGCACTATTCACAATAGCAAAGATATGGAATCAACCCAAGT